TGTCATTTTAATGTTGAGAAATATTCCGCTTTAATGAGCCACTACAAGAGGGTTCTATACAGATGTTGTTTATTTCTAAGTCCACGACAAGTGTAAGGTGAAGTTTGTATTTGCACCATTCAAAACGGAGAGATTGTACCAATACCTCTATTATTACTTTCATGTAATGTAGCTGAAATTTTCTTTGGATGTAGTTAAGTAACCTGTACACGATCAAATCCCATGTGCTCGAAAAATCAAACTGAATTAGCATCAGTACACTATATTTAGCAGTTATTAAAATAGGAAAAATGAATTTTTCCTGACATGATAAAACCGGCTTCTTAAAATAGAATAAATGATATAAAAATCAAATGAAAAGTAAGACAAATATCGGCTCTGTTTTCACAGTTTACCTTTTAAGTCCAAGAGTGAAAATGACCAAGGTAGAAATCAGTTTTTGATAGGTGCTCATATGAAGAAATACCAAGCTGTATACTCAATAATTCATATTAAACCAATCAACCATACACAAAAATACATGGAATGAAAAGTTCTTTAACTACTTCAGTCTTTTTTAAAATAGCCAGGGTAATTTTTATCTTAAAAAAGTATTTGTTTTCATTGATTTGCAATGGAATTAAGTAAAAGATGCCGATAAAACAGATTCACCTTTTTCCAAATGCAAGTCTTAAAAGAATAAAACATTTTCCTCTTTGATCTGTGACCTCCGTGAACTTGATCTGTTCCACACCCGTTAAAATTGTAAACAATTATTAATAGCATCACACGAATTATTGTTTCTAAATAGCCAAGATAACCAGTCAGAAAAACATGTTAAATTTTTCCTTTAAAACTCTAATAGTATGCAAATTAAATTATGGAGAATCACCACATCATATTTTGCAACCGATTAAGGTAACTATTTGCTTAACGTTTCGTTTACATGTCGTTAGTTACCTTTTCATAATATAACCGTAATATTTTTCGTTATCTGTCACAATAGTTCAATTGTCACTCAGATTTTTTGAAGAAATTAGTCACTAGGATATGAAAGCCAACCGAGGTAAATCCCCATCCCCAACAAACATAACCCAATAAATTGGTGTCTCTACTGCGCTACGTTGTTTTTGCTAAACATTTCTTTATTCAACGTAGGGAAAACTTTCTTCCAATAGCACGCCTTATTTCAGTATATCATGTTCTATACGAGGCATTGTTTTGTCCCTAATTTTGCTACAAGCAAACTTTTTGTGACAATGATGTAATGCACCAAAGACGCTAATGTAATATAAGTTTATCTCGACTTTTAGGGATATTTTAGGGTGGGTGGTGGGGAGCTTCGATCAATTGTTTCAATCTGACGAGATTTAAAGCTAATGTAGCGAAGCTTGAACACGTCCAAATACCAGCGACAGAATAGAGAAATTGAATATCATCCCGAGCCATTCACAATTATCAGTACTGAGAGAAATATACTATTTTTCAAATGGTTGCGTGCATGGTTGATATGGTTCAGTTATTGTACTATTTCCAACTATCTGTGCGCGTACCACATCGTTTTGTACAGTTTTAAATATTTCAGACAACGTTCTACCTGAATTAAAACAAAGAATTATTTTTCAATGTGGATTTACGAGGAATAAAGTTTTAGATACATGTATATGGCCATAATGTAAGGCAATTGCAATTAAACAACAAGTTTGTAAAGATGTAATGACAATTTCAGGAGCCGAAATAATCAACTGATAAATCTAAACAGTGGTATCATCGGGGGGGGGGGAGGTCCAGTGTTTACAACGCTTAATTTTGGGACAGAATCCAAAAATAAATTTGGAAGAAAATAAACATCAGGGAATTCAGTCTTTGCAACTCATTACACCTAATTTAGTACATCATTTTATGTAAAAAGATGATGTTCAGAGTTCTTTGTGTTTGTGTATGATTTTGGATTTTTTTTTTACGGGGCTTTACCAATTTGAGTCATACTGTTGCGATCTCTGCAATGTGGCAGTTTATAATGTCTAGCACTAGGCATCACATCCCACCCGAATCATGCATCATCATGTCCCACACGTTCACATTATCCTGACACTAGACCAGCTAGTACTAACACTATCCTCTAAAAGCAGATAGCCAAGCGAGACAGTTGCTAGTACCATTTCTACAAGTTTTTGGTATGTTCCTGCCGGGCTTCGAGACCGAAAACGGGACAGACGCTCTAATCACTGAGGCCACCAGGGAAGTATTTTTCAGGGTAGCAAAAATGCGTACCTGAAGTTTAACACAAAATCAAAAATGGCGCATCGGGGGAGGGTAAACCAGGGAAATTCCAAGAGCAGCAATGTAGAATCCTTTTCAGTTATGCAGATATTTGCTGCAGAATTATAAACTACCATTGGTGTGAATGGCTGAAGGGTCACTTTTATCGCAATTGCATTGGTACATTACAACCAGTTACATCCAATTACACCCATTGCCCACTATATTCACTGCTTAATGCAACACGAACAAGGTAAAACTGTCAGTTTTTGTTTCACCAAAGAACTATTTTTATTGTTGCAGTGAGCTTTGTAAAAATAAAAATGGAGAAGAATATAAACAGAATTTAGTTACCTACCTGCTGAAAGATTTTTGTAGAAAATGTTTGCTCTGTTTAGGACATTAACGATGGTTAATAACTCCACATTTCGTGTCTATATGTTCAGGCTGACTTGAGAAAACAATTTGTGTTCAATTTGATGTGATGTGATGTGATGTGATTTTGATTTGTAACGTAGCTATAACAATTTTTCAGTCATATTGCTACGATGTCTGCAGCGTGGCAGTTTATAGTGATGTCTATCACTGGGGCATCATGCCGCAGACATGTAGCATGATGTCCCACCCATTCACATTATCCTGACACCAGGCCGACCAGTCCTACCACTAACCTCTTAATGCTGAGCGTAAAACAAGAAAGCTGTTAGTACCATTTTTTTAAGTCTTTGGCATTACTCGACCGGGGATCGAACCCACGACCTCTCGCATCCGAGGCGGACGCTCTAACCACTAGGCCACCGGAGCGATTGTTAAATTTGACATAGCGCTCAAAAATTTTGTTCGTTTCCTATAACGACAAAATCGAAACAAATTTCTAACAATTTGCTGAAAAAATGACATTTTCTTTTTACAATAAAGATAATTAAGTTATCGTTGTTAATGATGATGGTGGTGATTATTTAGATGATAATTATGATGATGATGATGGTTGTGTTGTACTATTTGTTGACAACGATGACGATGATGATACCGTAGACGAAGACTGAGCTGTCAGATCAGGGTAATGCTCTCAACGTGAAATAATGTGTCAAATGAACGGAGTAGACACCATATGAAATGGGCAGATACGGTGTCTGCTCAGTTTTCATATGGGGTTATATACGATCAAAGGCAAACGATTGAGCTGGTAATAAAGGAAACAAAATAAAATCCAAAAGTTTTTACTTAAAGATGTACACAATTTGTCCGACTCATTGTAGAAACCAATAAATAACTTTCAATTGAAGTTGAATACATGTGTGTAGTCTTTAGTTCATCTATTTTTTATCCAACATTAAAGCCATTCTGTCTATGAAAACTTAAGATTTGAATTATATTTTACAGATTATGATGTCATAAATGAAATTCGTTAATACTAAACTTAACTCACGAAGTGAACATAGTAACACTGTATATTCCACATCTGCCTGGAATGAATAGCCTTGTCGGAATTGGTACTGTACTTGATCCTTTCTTAATGAACAACTGAGGCTTATTCCAAAATTTATTCCTTGAGAGAGACAGAAAAAAAAACTTTTCAAGCTATATATAAATGTGGTATTGCCTTCCTTTTAATGACCTACATTAACATCCAATTATAAAGTCTCCTAGTTAGATACCCCGTCTAACTCCCGTGTCACTGCATAGTACTACCTGTGTTACCTACTGCCCTCATTTACAGAAACATATTTAAATTGCAGAAATTTTGCCTATTATTACAGTATTATTTTTTCGGAAACGATTTTGAACTTTTTATATATGAGAATGATAAATGAATTATGTTATCTTATACATTGGCAAATTTGAATGGCTTAATTGTCGAAGAAACGGGTGAAAATGTCTATCTAAGAAACCAGACACTGATTTCTCCATACTTCAAAAACAAATTCGGATATACTTATGCTAAAAGGACTAGACCAATTAAAAAAGTGAATTTCACATGCAATAATCGTCTTTAAGAAAAATTGGATGAGGTAAAAGACGTTGTGAAAACCGATTCATGTAATGTATTCATTATATAATTGTAGCCAATTCTGAAATCTCGTGACAAGAACTTAATATTAAACATTCGTTAGGATCGTCCACAAAATGGTGCAAGGTAATTCATTATTTTTACTACCGCAAAAGAACCATCCTAATACAAACTAGGTATGTAAATGGGTAGAGTGTAATATGTAAACAGGATAAAAACGAATAATAGAAATACTCTACATTCAAATGCAAAAATATTACCAGCCAGGAAACACTAAAAAAAAAAGACGACACACGTTAAGCGATCTGATTAGTCAAGGTCCTCGCTTTCATTCTCGTTATAAAAGTCTCATCCTACTATCCGCTAATAGAGAAACTTGAGTATTAGATTTCATAACTTGTCACGATGACAAAGCAATTGTAAAGTTATATGTGTACACAGACTGAATATATAAGTATGTCTTATTGAGATGTAAATGATTATAGGACCTGATAACTTTGTAAGCAGTAAACTTATGATCAAATGAAGCGAGGAAAGTTTACAGTTACCACCCGTATAGAAGTTGAATTCTAAGGCTAAGCTACAATGATCAGTGTGTATAACAAGCCAATATCGGTACGATCGTTCATATCAATTTCTTCTAATCGTGTTGGCTAATAAAAGGGAGTGTAAAGTACAAATATCAAATACATACATGCATGCATACCTCTCAATGCTGATCGCCTAGCGAGGCAGCTATTCTTTGGTATGACTCGAGTGGGGTTCGACCCCACGACTTTCCGCATCCGAGGCTGACACTCCAACCACTCAGGCCATCAGAGCGGTCTAATTTCAAAGTATGATCAGTACTGCAATTGTTGTTTCATATAAAACAGATTACATGTATATGTATTGGCGACAGTAGAGATATTATCTCAAAAGATGTACACAAATCGTTTTTCATTGCAAGTGTATGCCGAAAAATGTGATCAAAGCAAATGTTTTGCCGGAGTTTAATATATTTCCATACAATAAACTGACACTAAAGACATCGATGAGATATAATTTGACTGACGCTCCGTATAAAAACGTCCAAATCGCACAAACAGGATAGGCAGGCATGTAGGTAGTGCCATCAACACACTGGACATATAGTGACAAGGGCAAAAGAATGAGACCAAAGGTCGAATGTCTAAATCTACTTCTAAAGGTTTAATAGGTCAGAATTCAAATTTTGCGTTACAACTTCTAATAACGGACACAAAACAAAACAGCATATCCAAATAGATTATTCTACTGAACCTGAAAGGTGATCAACTGCCGTCCATGAACGTAGTACACAACATTTGAATTTGCAGCAATTTTCATTATCCACATCGTAAATTTGAAAACAGCGTTTTCAGCGTCTGAAATTTATTCTTTTAATATGCCGTTGATATTATAAAGGGAAAGATAAAAATATGATCTCTCTCTCTCTCTCTCTCTCTCTCTCTCTCTCTCTCTCTCTCTCTCTCTCTCTCTCTCTCTCTCTCTCTCTCTCTCTCTCTCTCTCTCTCTCAAGTCCCACACAATCTACATTTTGGTTGGAAGTTAAATTAGTGACAGAGAGATGCACAGCTCCAAGCCCCCAGTTAGCAATGCCGACGGTTAGATGATTAATATATCAAAATGGTGAAATTAAATAAATATAAATTTAAAAATTCAATAGTCAAATGATTCGATTTCCAAAGTACACTTCTTCCGCTCGACCCGATAATAACCTATTGCATCACTTGATTAGTCGAGAAATCTGTTATTCTTATCCCCTATTTCTCCTAATTCCTTTTATTCTTTTTCATCTTTCCCCAAATTCTTTCTCCTCGACTTTTGAGTACTACTTCTCCTCCTCCAATTTCTACCATAGATTCCTTTTCCTCCTCCACCTTCTAGAGTTTTGTAGACTCCGACTGTTCGGCTAGTCTCACTTCCCTCTCCGCTTTTGGAGACTCGGGACTCAACCGGATGTTCTGTCCCCTGAAAACCTTCCTTTTCAAAACTGTCTTTGTTTAGAATCAGCTTATCCGTTTTACCGCCAATTTAAGAGTGGATTTCTCAGAGTAACCATATTTCCTCAGAAACCTTCCCATGAGAAACTAAAATTTTAAAAGTTATAATTCGGATATTTGTAATCACACCCTCTATCTCAATTTCCATCAGATGTCGCTGTGACCCGATCCAATCAAACTTAGCGGATGATGTTCTTCTCGCTGTCTTTCTACGTAGGGGCGGATGACAACACATCCGATTCACAACGTAATCTTTCTTTTTATCCTAACCTAAGCTGTAACACACTGGTGTGAAGTGCTGCGATTTATCGCCTACCCAACTCAAGATTCAGGTTAACCTTGGTAAAAATTAACACTAACTGGTAGCAATGTTAGACATCAAACACAGGGCCGTAGTAATTTCTTGGTTTATACACGAACTAACTATCTGGGGCTTAGCAAACGTGACAAGGGTGTACAATGACAGTTGTGATTCAATAAATTTTAAAGGACATCCGACATGGTGTCTCAATATAAGCATCTTGAAAGTTAGGATTTGTGTAGTCTCTAATTCTCGTTTTGACAAGAACATTGGAATGCAAAATGAAAATCAAATGGAATTAAATTATCTCTGATTTACTATTGTATATACTAAAATACTAGTTTTACAGTACACCCCGTGGTCATGATTCAGACTATCTACAAGAACAAGCGTAAAACGCTGGATTAGGTATGGATACTGTGCTCCATTATAGCCTCTAAAAATGATGTCAAATTTTTGTATGGCGTGTTAACGTAAACAAATCTGCAAAATCCAGTCTCTTTTGGCTAGAAACTTTGTATTATTAATTAAACTATATATGAGTGATTATGAGTGGGTTATTAATGCTGTCAATCGTTCATAAACTAGTTAATTTATTGAATCCTCAAATAAGAATCAGCAGTATCAGAATCATCATCAATACTAAGAAAAGATGTGTATGCATTTAGGTTTAACGGCTAGTCAATACAACACTGGCTATACAGTAGAGATCAAAAAGTTAAATTTCTTTCCGTAAATATAAAAAGAAAGAAAAAAAAAGACAAGAAAGAAAGAAAGAAAGAAAGAAAGAAAGAAAGAAAGAAAGAAAGAAAGAAAGAAAGAAAGAAAGAAAATAAACTTTATTTAAAAAGTAAATAAAATAGATCATATAATCTGGGATGCACTTTAAACATCATTGAAATATCTAGATTAAAAATGAAACAAATCTTTAATATGTTTGTCACGTTTAATGTTTGAAATGAGATAAATGATGATATTTTGAATACGATTCTTTAACGGAACCTTACATCCCTACACCAAACTCAGTACGTTTCTTGCATTTGGTCACTTTGCATCATACAATGACTAGCGTGCTAGGCTCGCCACCGAAGGGATGTGGGTTCGAATCCTACTTTGTGTCAGCTTGGATCGGCCGCTGTCGCGTGTCTTTAGAAAAGGTACTTGTGCTGTCGTGAGATAATGCATGACCATAAACGCCTGAAAATTTGACTACGTTTCAATACATTACAGAGTCTCTGAAAGTACACTAGTACTTTCACATTACCGAATACAAGCAAATGATACTTTGCAGAAAATATAGCAAGTAACACTAAATAGGATTAGAATACAATTTTATCTTCGATATTTTGATTCCAGAGATACGCTCTAAATTTTCTATTAAACAATTTATCGACAATACAAATATCACTTACTGGTATTTTTTTTTAAAACGTAACATACCCTTCTTTCTTTCTGTCCCCTCGCCTTAATGAGGTTTAAAGTGTTTCTTTAGTTTTCCAGCTGTTATAAAGTGCTGTTATATATAATATATAGACCTACGTAATTGCATCCTTGAATAGTATTTACCAATTATGTACAGGTGGGTGACTCATCAAATGGGAACAATTTCAGTTGCAAAGGAATGGCACCAAATTCGTTGTATATGTTTTTAATACAAATTTTGAATGCTTATTTACCCGGAAAATACTGTGTCTTCACAACTTGCGTGGTGTGCACATCACAAACAAAGCACGGGATGGGCGATAAGGGATCGGCTGCACAAGTCTGGCAGACTACAATAAATTTGAAAAAAAGGAAAATAAATTTTGTCTGGCGTAATTCACAGGAGAATCATAGAACAAAATATCTTTAGTTAATCTGTGAAAATTGGTCTTAACTTATATCACTAATTAATATAGAAAAGCTAACGTTTGAAGTGACGTATTTTCCACGAAATACATGTAGTAATGGGAAATAAATGAAATTGGCTGCTTTTGACATTTGCCGATGTCTTTCTCAAATTTATTTTCTGCAGCCGAAAACTTTCCTTATTCCCATATTTTGCCCATATTTGTAAATTTATACTGGGACTTGAAACTTTCCATACGGTTGAGAGGTAAGAACAAATGCACATCAGGATGGATTTGCTCTTGGCTAAAACTCCAGCCGTACTTTTCTAGAAGTTAGACGCACGGAGCCGGTTCTGGTGGAAACAGTTCATAATCATCACGTTTTCTACTTTAAAATTAAAATTTAATAGCAAACAGCCTTTCCTGAGATTTTTGCAATTATTGAAAGTGACAAAGATGCAAGTAGAAATATTTATTTTTACCAATCGCAAGTTAAGAACGATTGTTAATAATTTTTTTTAAAGCATCAACATAGACAAATAAAATAAATGATGCATTTAAAATCAGCATTGCAATTTGAATGTACTGTGTACATGAACATCTTTACAGTGCATTAGATTTTTAATGTACTGGGTACATGAACATCTTTACAGTGCATTAGATTTTTAATGTACTGGGTACATGAACATCTTTACAGTGCATTAGATTTTTAATGTACTGGGTACATGAACATCTTTACAGTGCATTAGATTTTTAATGTACTGGGTACATGAACATCTTTACAGTGCATTAGATTTTTAATGTATTGGGTACATGAACATCTTTACAGTGCATTAGATTTTTAATGTACTGGGCACATGAACATCTTTACAGTGCATTAGATTTTTAAAAGTTGCTTTCACAATTTTGCAGTCATATCGCTATGATGTATACAGTGTGACTGTCAGTTTACAGTAATGTCTGGCACTGGGGTATCATGCCGCAAACAAGTAGCAACATGTCATAACCAGTCAAATTAACTCGACACCAAGCCGACCAGTCCTATCATTAACTTCAGTATGGTGTGCCAAGCGAGGCAGGTGTTAGTACCATTTAGGTAAGTCTGGTGTGACTCTGCTAACCCGCGCCCTGTTTGCTTTCTCGATTTTCAACGTTACCCTAACTGTATTGTATATATGTTTGGCTCAACCACAAGTGGTACACAATAAGGAAAAACTTAAATAACTATAGCAGTAAAATTGTTTAGGTACCGATTTGTAACTCATAGTTATCATGATCATTTCTAAAAACGATAGTGAAATCAAGCATAGAGTGTTGAATGCACCCACAAATAAGCATCAATCGAAATTTGGATAAGGCGTCGATTATGGAAATTGACTGCAAGCATTTCAGATCGATGGTTTACTTTTCAAAAATATATAATAAAAAATCTACTAATTTTAAGAAAATATTATGAAGTATTTCACTCGTGAAATGGAGGCTTTTTCCAATGCCCCTTCGTGGCTTGGCCAGTCCTAGCAATACAATTGTTCCACTTAAATCATGCAATATTTCCTTTTATCAACTTACAAACGTAGATATCCTCCGTGCTGATCTGGTCTTTTAAGTTTTGATCCTTATATTGTACATTATGAGCTTCAATACGTATTAGATACTGGGTACTACAGTAAGG